TCTCTGCTTACAGTCTTGACTTGTAAGCAGTTTCATGTTACAAACCCATCTACATACATATACATATACATACTGTAAAACCACACCCACAGGCACACTCCAAGCTCCGCCTCTTGTTTTTGTCTGGCTGGTGGGACATTTCGTAGCCCACCCTGTTTGCTAACTTTCAATCTGAAGCTCTGCTCAAAAATCTGCTTTTTGTCCAATGTCTTGAATGCACAGACTGTTTCTCTATCTGAAAACACATTTATTTACCAGCAAGCTCTCTGACTTGTGGTCATAGCTGCGAAATATAAATGTTCTGATAACTGAGTCACTTTCCAACTTTGAGATGTGGCTAAAGGAGAAACGGGGAGTGATTTCTTCTCAGTTGGACAATGTGTAAAGTGCACACACAGCACTTCATTCCACCCGCTGAAGTGATGGGAGTTGTAACAAAAAGCAGTAAGATCAGGCTGGAGTGAGATGGAGGAAGCACAGTATACTATATAAATTGTTTACAGCACAAAATGTAGGGGAACAATGTTGGAGTGAAAAAGGTCAGGAGTTATTCAGTAATGTGAGATGGAAGCTGGCCAGACAGAGCAGCAATCGCTAATATCGAGTGTTGCGTAGCGACATGAATGGTCTGATCGGGGTGGCTGAGGGGCTGGAATGACTGCAAATCCCAGATTAATGGTAATGTTGGATCTTAATGTTAGCTGAGACATCCCCACCCTTCAAAGTCATATTTCTAATGGAAACATTGCTGGCTTTGTTGTTTGCTGGTTTCACCCTAAATATGTTTAGAAAAAGAAATTGGCTTCTAATAAGTGAGAGAGCGAGATGACGTCAGGTTGAATGGAGTATGCCTTTTGGTGTTTGTCATCTGGTGTTTGCTGTTCTTATGGCCCACCTGGCTGCTCTTTATGACTATCCTGTGTTTCAGGACAGGACCAGTCAGAGCTGGTTCTCAATGGTCAAGCAGCATCAGGGTGCTGAAGTTTCCACTTGCTGCAGCAAAACCCTCTTCCTCCTTTCATTTCTCTGTTCTTTCCTCTCAGAGGGCTGAATCGAATTTTCTCTTCTTTTTTTTCTGCACGAAAGACTCAGCATATTTTCCCACTCCTCACCCAGACGTCTTTGTCACTTCACACTGCCTTTTTCATTTCAGTTTTAAACACTCAGCGCAAACAGACACACGCTCTTGGTGGCATACAAACTATGCGCAAAAGTGTGCCGTGGCCAAAAAATTGCAATGACAGAATGTTTGCACAGTCCAGTGATAAGACAGTAGATGCCGACTGTAGTCTTACTCCGTTGCCTGAGTCAGTCTTGCCCGAAGCCCCTCTGATATATAATCAACAAACACGTAGAGTCTACTGATTATGTATAAGTGGGTCACAGCTCCTCTGTTTGCACTCACTACATTCAGCACTGTCACCAAATAACAATGAGTGAGCGCTGTCCAGGTTGCAGCGCGCCTGTGCGTTTGTTTGAAGCAAACATTATTAAAAAAAAGTTTTACAGTATTGACTCACACAGGTATGCTAGCAAATCTGTACTGTTGTCATAAGGTGGAGCTAAATGCTAATGTTAATATTTGCCAATAAACAAGTAGAGTTAAAGTGTGTTTAAAATTTAACAGCTGAAGCACATCGAGCATTATGGTCAGGTTTTTTTTTCGGGCAATTCTTCTAAAGATTTATGATGTTACATGCCTAACATAAAATTATTTTGGCAATACTGTTTTTTTTATTTAAACTTTTTCCATTTGGGTGTGTTATTAAAAAATGGTTTTAAATCACTGATGATGGCAGATTGTTTATTTAAAATGTTAAACGTTATATTTTTCTACAGGACACAGACTGAAATGTATCCATCTAACTTGACTCTGTTTCATTACCTTTGCTTACATTAGCCATTGCAAACTCCTTCAACTTTGCTCAGATCTGTTTGCTGGTCTTTTAAGTGCTGTACTAAATTGGAAAGCTCAGTAACATTGTTTGCACATTGCCTTTTGCAAATCAAATCAGGATGCCCCCCTGGTCATAAAACACTTCTTAGCCCATTCCGCCTGCCTCATCAACAAAATAGGGCAATGCTAACGTGGCCGCTGCATAGGTCCCCAACTTCCATGTGTAGTTTTTGCTATACTTCAGGATGTAAGGATAGACAAGAACACTTGCCAAAGGTAACTACTATACTAAAAAAACACAAGAATCAAGAACCAATTCCAGTTATCCAACTGATTTAAACCCTATGCTTCTAGCCCATGCAATTTCTTTCATCAGTGCTAGCCTGTGTTGTTGAAGTTGTGCGTGGCTTAACAGTGATGCTAAGCTGTTAGCATGCCTTTAAATAATCCACCTGTTTGCATCAAGCCTCAGTGATAGAAGGGTTGTTCTGATGCAAAAAAAACAACCTCTGTAGTCCTTGAGGCTAGCCAAAAAGGAGCATTTGTCAAAGAAATATTTCTTTTCACTCATTTACATAAATCACACTGATGATATTGACAGCTTGCTGAAAAGTGAAAGTTATATGGATACCCTTCAAACAAAAACCCAAACGCCCACTCTTTGCTTTCATATTTGTGTCTCTAGATATATTGGCGTTTTATAGTTGTCTTTATGTGCATTACCAAAAAAACAACCAACCCCACACACCTGCTGAACCCAATAACCAGTCCCTGATCTCTTATCTCCAGGTCACTGCTCTGAAGATAAAATAGACCTTCAGTGGCTGTTCAAATACAGGGCCCATCATCTATGTGTGTACTTTGTGCAGGGATACACTGTGACCATAGAGCTAACAAAAGGGCTATTCAGGGACGAAGCAACAAGAGCGGTTAGTCATGGGTGTTATTACCTTCAGAGAGGTATAAGGTTGCTCTCAGTCTGTTCCTGCACCACTCACAAGAGAAATGAACACAGCAAGTGTGATATTTGTGATGATGTGGAGATTAGAAAACTAATAGAAGTAGTAAGGGATTAGCAAAGCCTGTATTTAGTGAAGCAGAAAGGTGAGGACAGAGGTGAAGTTTCCAGAGCAAACACTGGGAAGGTGTTGGATCAAGAACTACGTGATCACATACTGTGCCTTGAAGGCCGAGAAACATAGGCGACACATTCCTCTGATGATTAGAAAAAGCACCAAAACAAGCGGCTGTTCTCTGAAGTCAGGTCTTACAGGGACTGGGAGTGAAAAACACACACAGATTTTTAGCTAGCTTAACAAACATCTGTTGGATGGATTGCCAAAAAGTGTTCGGCAGATATACTATATCCTATGGCTGACATTTAAGAGTATGAATACAATTTTCAAGCCATTATCTATCATAATTAGGTTGTAAATATTATCGTCCAAGTTGGAATTGCAACTAAAACATTTTTATGAAAACTCTCATGTCATCTGACTTGGTGTTAAGTACAGAAGAGCACAGTACAGAACAGTGTATATTCTCATGGCCCTACAATATTATCATATGTCCAACAAAGTGTAAGGGTTCATTAATAAGATGGTTAATGTACAAGCACATAACAGGGGAAAAGATTCAACTGCATGCACACTGCAGAGTTCCAGATTTACCTGTTTATTGCACCAGGAAAAACATGACGTTTCAAGACCACCTAGATTTATATTCACGATGGATATAAATCTAGGACAAATAAGATATGAGCAGATATAAAAATTAAAGATTTAATCTTACTTGGGGCAGAAATGGGCTAAAATCTATTGTATTTAAAAACATTCATCTGAAGCTAGTGGCTAATTTAAATCTGCAGTCCTTTAGCAGATAGACACGAAACACTAGTACAGCTCATGTAAACAGTATTACAAAATACAAGGTGTTACCTATTCTTATCATGTTATGTTATGTGTATTTGCAGTGTTGTGGGATTGACTCTGTGAAGCTGTGCACAGTGTGTCTGTTAGCACGTGAGGCCACAGCTGATTCTTTGGTCAGTCTGCCTGACTTAAATGTTATTGACTGCAGTTACGGAAACTCTGCTATCTCTTCCTCATCGAGCCCGACAGCTGCTTCTCCCATCGACGCACCCGCCCACACTT